CCACATCGAAACACCATGCGCAAACTGATTTTCGCCATGCGTGCACTATCTTTGTTTCGGCCGAGTTCCCCTCTACAATTATCGTGCGGCTATCATGGTCATTCCTCGTGTACGCACTTGATTTTGCCGTGCAGAGACCGCGGATTTGGCGGGCATTACACCGTCGTCTCGTGGTATACGCAGCGTGCTTAACCTACGACGCAATTTTACTTGTGTTCTAGTATTATTGTGATTGTGATTGGACTTGTTTTATAGTATTGTTATGATAGTGATTGGATATTTATATTATTATGGATCCATCTATTAACTCATTACTAACAAGTTGGATGCTGGATGACTTGTCATATTATATGCTTCGTAAGTAAACTTTAACATTTTCAAAGTCATTTCATCTAATCATTGATTTTATCATGTTCGATCGTGTTTTACAGTTCATGAAATTACTTACGAGGAATTTATTAATTTAAGTAAAAGCAAAATAGACTTAATAGTACCTGATAGCCACAGTACATCTAGGAATAAACTTAATAATGTATTAGAACTGTATCGAAAAACTTTGAATTCTCAAAAACCGGTTCTCGCAGATGTATCAAATCTCAATCAAAATGCTTCTAGTAACGATTGCTATTACGAAACTTCTAAAGTCCCTACTGAAAGAGATAAATTTAAAGATTATCAAGATTTTTATACACAAAGTAATTTCTACTCAAAATTTCTATCTCTTTCACTTTTGAAATTTGCACATTATTTACTAATGATATTTTCTTATATACTCATTCATAGTACAAAAAAATAAAAGAATGTACAAATTATTACATCATGCTGATTGCTTATGGGGCAGTATTATTCTATATATGTATGCTTATCAGGGCAACATTTCATCATTGAGGGACGAGCTGAGTAAAATATTAGTGGATGCAGAGCTTGATAAAACAAAAGAGAGTACACTACCATTTCAGTAAGAATTTCAAAAATCCTTTTTATTCAAGTTATTTAGTTAAACGTTTATAACACCTGTGTTTATTTTAATTTCAACAGCATTCCCTCTAAGGTGTTCCAAAGTCTCAGTCAAGAAATAGTAGATTTTTTCCCATGTGAAGAAAAAAAAGTATATTATGATTGTAGCTATACTTTATCAAAAGAAAACAGATTAAGTAATAATACTAATACTAAAAATAAAAAAGGAAGAGTAAATGCTACAGGAAAACTACAAAATGCTTATTCAGCAAGGCGAGGTCACATCGAAAAAAAAACAAATTTATTGATAAATCTACACCCTCAAGTGACACAAGTAANCAAGTGACACAAGTAAAAACTGATACGCCTACTTTTACTGGTATTGAATTGAAAATTTTTAAATATTTTATGTGATCAATGTGGTATTAAATCTATATTTTTTATAATATTTATAGCATCTGAGACATTATTGGACATAAATTGTCTGCTGAATAAGCCAGAGGATTTAAGTGACAGTGAGAAATACCACATAATAGAGAATTGGATGACATCTTACAGCTACAGGAAACAAACCTACACTGAAAAAGGACTAGATTTGATTAAAAAATTAAAAGTTTTAGA